AGTCTTGTCATCTCCACTCATATCCATGTCATGACCCTGCTTACAAACTTGCTCCCCGGGTTGAGGAATTAAAAAACAAAAAAAAAATTATCTTACAGAAGATAGAGAATTTTTTTTCCAAAGTACAAAATTTTATGGAAAACTCAAGGAATTATTTCTCTCGCAAAGTTAGCAGTCTTGATGATATTTTACACATCGGCAAATTTCGCCCAATTATTTCTCCATTATTGGTCAATTTCATTGTTCCAGTTGACCAAACTCATTGCTATTTTGCTAGTATGTATTCCTTTATTCGATCAAATGAGCACAAGAAACCACCCAATTACCTATTTCAGTTACCCAATAAAGTGATTGGAAATTAGTAAATTTTGGGGAATTTTTACACAAAATTCAACAATTGCCAGTTTGAAAATAGGGTCCAGAATATACAGTGTAGACATTCCTGACACTAATGAACATTTCCTCTGATCCTTAGTCACGTGCCCCGGCCCTCTTAAAATTACGCTTTTTTTCATTTTGAATTTTTATTACCAAAAAATAGAAAATTTACCTTTTTGTAGGGCTACTGCATTATTATTTATTTTATTATCACACTGGCCCATTCCCACCAAAAGGGAGGGTGGCCCGAAAAAGAAAAAAATTTCACCACATTCACCCATCACTGTCTTGCCAGAAGGTGCTTTACATACAGTTTATAAACTGCAACATTAACACCCCTCCTTCAGAGTGCAGGCACTGTACTTCCCCTCTCCAGGACTCAAGTCCGCCTGCCAGTTTCCCTGAACCCCTTCATAAATGTTACTTTGCTCACACTCCAACAGCACGTCAAATATTAAAAACCATTTGTCTCCCTTCACTTCTATCAAACACTCTCACACATGCCTGCTGGAAGTCAAGCCCCTCGCACACAAAACCTCCTTTACCCCCCCCCTCCAACCTTCCCAGGCGACCCCTACCCCGCCTTCCTTCCCCTACAGACTGATACACTTTTGAAGTTATTCTGTTTCGCTCCATTCTCTATACATGTCCAAACCACCTCAACAACCCTTCTTCAGCCCTCTGGCAACAGTTTTTGGTAATCCCCGCACCTCCTCCTAACTTCCAAACTACGATTCTCTGCTTTAATTTTCACACAACACTTTTTGCCTCAGAACTGACATCTCCACTGCCTCCAGCCTTCTCCTCGCTGCAACATTCATCACCCTTTCTTCACACCCTATAAGAGCTTTGGGTAAAACTATACTCTCATACATTCTCCTCTTTCCCTCCAATGAAAAAGTTCTTTGTCTCCACAGACTCCTAAGTGCACCACTCACCCCCTTTCCCTCATCAATTCTATGATTCACCTCATCTTTCATAGACCCATCCGCTGACACGACCCTCCCAAATATCTGAATACATTCACCCCCTCCATACTCTCTCCCTCCAATCTGATATCCAATCTTTCATCACCTAATCTTTTTATCCTCATAACCTTACTCTTTCCTGTATTCACTTTTAATTTTTTTTCTTTTGCACACCTTAACCCAAAATTCATCACCAAATCTCTGCAACTTCTCTTCAAATCTCCCAAGAGCACAGTGCCATCAGCAAAGAGCAACTGTGACAACTTCCACTTTATGTGTGATTCTTTATCTTTTTAAATCCACGCCTCTGCCAAGACCCCGCATTTGCTTCTCTTACAACCCCATCTATAAATTTTATTAAACAACCACGGGACATCACCAATCCTTGTTAAGGCCTACTTTTACTGGGAAATAATTTCCCCCTTTCCTACATACTCTAACTTGAGCCTCACTATCCTCGTAAAAACTCTTCATGCTTTCAGTAACCTACCTCCTACACCATACACTGCAACAATCTCCCCCCCTATCCACCCTGTCATACGCCTTTTCCAAATCCATAAATGCCACAAAGACCTTTTTTAGCCTTATCTAAATACTGTTCACTTATTTTTTTCACTGTAAACACCTGGTCCACACACCCCATACCTTTCCTAAAACCTCCTTGTTCATCTGCATTCCTATTCTCCGTCTTACTCTTAATTCTTTCAATAATAACTCTGCCATACACTTTACCAGGCACACTCAACAAACTTATCCCCCTATAATTTTTGCACTCTCTTTTGTCCCCTTTGCCTTTATACAAAGGAATATGCATGCTCTCTGCCAATCCCTAGGTACCTTACCTCTTCCATACATTTATTAAATAATTGCACCAACCACTCCAAAACTATATCCCCACCTGCTTTTAACATTTCTATCTTTATCCCATCAATCCCGGCTGCCTTACCCCCTTTCATTTTACCTACTGCCTCACGAACTTTCCCCACACTCACAACTGGCTCTTCCTCACTCTTACAATATGTTATTCCTCCTTGCCCTATACCCAAAATACAGCTTCCCATCTTCATAAAACATTTAACAATTCTTCAAAATATTCCCTCCATCTTCCCAATACCTCTAACTCTCCATTTAATAACTCTCCTCTCCTCTTTTTAACAGACAAATCCATTGTTCTCTAGGTTTCCCTTTAACTTGTTAATCTCACTCCAAAACTTTTTCTTATTTTCAACAAAATTTGTTGATAACATCTCACCCACTCCCTCTTTGCTCTCTTTTTACATTGCTCACCACTCTCTTTAACCTCTCTCTTTTTCTCCATATACTCTTCCCTCCTTGCATCATTCTACTTTGTAAAAACTTTTCATATGATAACTTTTTCTCCCTTACTACTCTCTTTACATCACATTCCACCAATCGCTCCTCTTCCCTCCCGCACCCACTTTCCTGAAACCCACAAACTTCTGCTGAACACTCCAACACTAACATTTTTAAACCTACCCATACCTCTTCGACCCCATTGCCTATGCTCTCTTTAGCCCCTCTATCCCCCAAATACTGTTTTATTTCTTACCCTAACTGCCTCCTCTTTTAGTTTATAAACCTTCACCTCTCTCTTCCCTGATTTTCTATTCTCCTTGTATCCCATCTACCTTTTACTTCAGTGTAGCTAAAACTAAAAAGTGATCTGATATATCTGGGGCCCCCTCTATAAACATGTACATGCTGAAGTTTTACTCAACAGTCTTTTATTACCAATACATAATCCAACAAACTACTGTCATTTTGCCCTACATCATATCTTGTATACTTATTTATCCTCTTTTTCTTAAATTTGTATTACCTATAACTAAACCCCTTTCTATACAAATTTTCAATCAAAGGGCTCCCATTATCATTTACACCTGGCACCCCAAACTTACCTCCCAAACACCCTCTCTAAAAGTTTCTCCTACTTTAGCATTCAGGCCCCCTACCACAATTACTCTCTCACTTGGTTCAAAGGCTCCTATCATTCACTTAACATCTCCCCAAAATCTCTCTCTCCCTCTGCATTCCTCTCTTCTCCAGGTGCATACACGCTTATTAGGGACCCACTTCTCGCATCCAACCTTTACTTTAATCCACATAATTCTTGAATTTACACATTCATATTCTCTTTTCTCCTTCCATAACTGATCCTTCAACATTACTGCTACCCCTTCCTTTGCTCTAACTCTCTCAGATACTCCAGATTTAATCCCATTTATTTCCCCCCACCGAAACTCCCCTACCCCCTTCAGCTTTGTTTCGCTTAGGGCCAGGACATCCAACTTCTTTTCATTCACAACATCAGCAATTATCTGTTTCCTGTCATCCACACTACATCCATGCACATTCAAGCATCCCAGTTTTATAAAGTTTTTCTTCTTCTCTTTTTTAGGAAATGTCTACAGGAGAAGGGGTTACTAGCCTTCTGCATTATTGTAATAATTTTGCAAATAATGTCAATGCATTCCTAAATGCGTATTAGACTGTCCAGTTAGATGAGTGTTGGAAAGTAACATCATATGTGTACCCTGGAATAGTGAAAAAATCAAACATTTCCTCTGATTTGAGCTCAATTTCAAGCTACTTTCTGTACTGAAACTATTCAAAATTATCTCTATTTCTGTAATATATCTTCCATTCCATCAAGTATGACCAAGAAACTAAGAATACAGCCATAAAAACCATACGAAAAAACACCGCAAAGTCGATGTTTTAAACCAAAAACACAGTAGCAGTCTTTCTCATTATGCATTGGGTTCTGCAGGATTTTTTATGTGGTGCACACTTACTGCATAGACCCATTCTCTCATATCTCTGCCTGAAATGCCCTGGCTTGATAATGGCTTTCTTTGTACTTAGCAAACCAAAATTGTAATTACACATTGTAGCCTTTACAAAGAAATAAAATCTTTATTCTTTATCTTTTATCTAGGCCCAGATTTACTGCTCACAGCTTATCTGAGTGAACTGAGCTCATGGCGTTGTACTATGAGACTGACACTGACTTCAAAGCCGTGATACAATGGGACTGACACTGAAAGGGTTGAGGAGGAGTTCATAAAGATATCTACCTGGATGTTTACCTTTATATTGTTACAGAAAACTCATAACCTCTTGATTTAGCTGTTTTAAAAACTGTTGAGTGAATCTCATGGGCCAGGATGTGAGTGCAAAGAGTCTCTTACCATAGAACCTGAGCGATGCCCAACAATTCTGAAGACAGGGATGACAAAAATGTCCTGGAGATTGTGTGCATGCCTAATCATGCTAATTTAAAAAAACAAATATTTTATATATTTTATATAGCCGGACTTGAATACTGGAAATGGGAAGCACAATGCCTGTGCTTTAAAGGAGGGGTTTGGGATATTAGCAGTTTGGAGGGATATGTTTTATAATTTATATTATATGCTTCTAAACTGTCATATCTGGGCTCCTCTGCAAAGACAGTGATTATGTGTTACTGAGGTGAAAGTGTTAAATGATGATGAAAGTATTTTCTTTTTGGGGATTTTCTTTCTTTTTGGGGATTTTCTTTCTTTTTGGGGATTTTCTTTCTTTTTGGGGATTTTCTTTCTTTTTGGAGATTTTTTCTTTCTTTTTGGGTCACCCTGCCTCGGTAGGAGACGGCCGACTTGTTAAAAAAAAAAAATGTTAATTTTGTTCAAACATTTCTCTATGATGTTTGTATTGCAGATGTTGCTGAAAAATTAATTTCAACTGGGTGGGTACCTGGCATTTTATCTGGGAGTCATCAAATTTATACAGCGATGTATATACCTAGTATATATTCAAGAACACAGAATGAGTGGGTAGACAATTTCTTGAAGCAAAATGGCTATCTAGGTAAGTAATTTAAATTTTAAGTTGATATTCTGATTTACTGTGTTTTCAAAATTAGGTTATTAATCAGAGCTGTGTCAGGGAAGTATAAGATCTCATATACTGTATATCATTTGGGTAAGGAATATTGAAGTCTTTGAACATTGTGTAATTTCACAATATATTAACTCCACTAAACAGGTGCAAAAAGTTAACAACAAGCATGTGTAGTTATACATGTAGGTGTTTCTCTGTCGTAAATGAAGCTTCATTATTCATTTACGTATTTACTATTTTTTATGCAGTTACCGTACTATATCTATTTTTAAATACCTATTTGAATTTGCATGGGGTGACCACTCACTCTTGGCTCAATCTCTTAAAGTAAAGTTGACTGGTGTAAATTAGCACATTTGTATTTACACTTGAAACTTCTGTACAAAGTCAGCTTCTGTGTCAATGGCCAGCTTGTTTCACTTCTTTTCCACTCTTATACTGTAGATATAATTTGTGTTATCTCTGTGAAATGGTTGGGTGTCTTGTTTGTATTCATGCTCCATTTCTGAATTCTTTTCTCAGTTGTTGTAGTAGCATTTCATTAACCATTAACCCCTTGACTGTTGCAACCCCCAATCCTGAGGTGTCTCCTGGTGTCACAAGATTAAAAAAAAAAAAAAAAAATTCTAATGAAATGATAGAGAATCTTTTCCCGATTGTAATGACACCAATAAAATGAAATTTGATGAAAAACTGATGGAATTACGCTCTCGCGAAGTTAGCGACCTCGGCGATATTTACAAATCGGCGATTTTGCCCACTTTGAGCCCTATTTTCGGCTAATTCCATTGTTCCAGTCGACCAAACTCATAGCTATTTCTTTAGAACTCCATTTTTTCTATCGATTGAGTACAAGAAACTGCCCATTTACCAATTTCAATTACCCAATAATGTGGTCAGAAATGTGTAATTTGGCCAATTTCACTAAAATTAAGAAATATGATAATTTCAAAATAAGGACCAGAATGAACAATGCAGACATTCCTGGCTCTAAAATAACATTTTCTTTGTTCATCAGTCATGTCTCCAGGCCCCTCTGATATTACTCTTGCTTTCTGTTTTGAATTTTTATTCAAACAAAAAGTAGAAGATTTACTTTTATGCAGACTACTGCAATACTGTAATAATTGTATAAATAACATCAACCCATTCATGACTGCATATTAGAATGGCTAGTTGGACATTTATTGGACAATGACATCATTTGTTTACTTTTGAAAATCGGCAAAAATCAAACATTTCCCGTACTTTGAGCTCCATTTCCAGGTTCTTTTTATAGTAAAATCAATCAAAATCACCTCTATTTCTATAATATATTTTCCATTCTGTCAAGTGAGACCAAGAAAACGAGAATACAACCATAAATACTATACGAAAATAGACCACAAAGTCGGCATTTTAATTAAAAAAAACGGTCAGAGTTTTTTTTTCTCTCATTATGCACTGCATGCTCCAGGTTTTTTTATATGGTGCACACTGACCACACAGGCCCATTCTCTCACATGTGGGCCTACCAGCTTTCTCCTGCTTGATTTGAAGCCACTAGAATTTATGAGTTTATACACGTCAAACAAGGTACCTCGTAAGACGTATATATACGGTCGCGACAGTCAAAGGGTTAAACGTATTTGTGTTATTCAGCACAAGGAGTTGTGGGGGCTTACTCCTCTTGTCCAGTATTTGTGGCTTGGTGTCTGATCACTCAAGCTGTTGGTAATCTCCTTATCTACCATGTCAATTCCCTAAAGTATTTAGTGTGTCATGATTAAATTCTTTCCTGTTTTCTGTTGCTTTAGGTGAAATTTTTTTTTCTCATAGCTCATTCCTCTAATCAGTCCCATTGAATAATTTTAAATTTTCATGACAAGCAAGATAATTTGCTCCTCTGATCAGTCTTGACTGAATAACTTTACACTTTATTGAGCTTCTCAACATTTTCTTTGTGTCTGACTAGGTGAGGGTTCCATGCTCTTTTGTCCCCTTTGCCTTTATACAAAGGAACTATGCATGCTCTCTGCCAATCCCTAGGTACCTTACCCTCTTCCATACTTTTATTAAATAATAGCACCAACCACTCCAGAACTATATCCCCACCTGCTTTTAACATTTCTATCTTTATCCCATCAATCCCAGTTGCCTTACCCCCTTTCATTTTACCTACTGCCTCACGAACTTCCCCCACACTCACAAGTGGCTTTTCCTCACTCTTACAATATGTTATTCCTCCTTGCCCTATACACAAAATCACAGCTTCCTTATCTTCATCAACATTTAACAGTTCCTCAAAATATTCCCTCCATCTTCCCAATACCTCTAACTCTCCATTTAATAACTCTCCTCTCCTATTTTTAGATGGTGGAATGATGGGCTTTTTCAAGTCACAAACAGATTTATTTGTGACTTGAAAAAGCCCACTGTGTGGGCGAAACATTGTCAATAAAGGATCTCATTATACTGCATGTGTGTTTATATTTCCATTGTAGTGATCTGTTGAAGGACTAGCTAATGGTTTGCTAAGTTCCTTCTTACATTCCTTTATAACCTTTGAGAACAGTTCTTTGGGCTCGGTGATTTGTTTGGTTTTAATCTACAACTGTGCCTGCTTAGCATGGGCCAGTAGGCCTGCTGCAGTTCTCCTTTCGTATGTACTTTTTAGTACTACGGTGTCAAAGCTTTTTTTATTTTTTTTTTGCAGCTCAGGAATATGCAGTCTGCTCATCCACAACTTTCCTGCTTGCTTTCCATCAGTGTGTGGTTGGCCTCTGGTTGGTTTGTGAGAGGAGACTTCCTATTCCTGAGGTAGTGCTGTGAGGAACTCTTCAGTGTAGCTATTATTATTGATGCCTAGTTAGTCTTACCAATCATAATTATGAAATTGGAATAAATTAATAAACTGTATGTTTTGTCTTCAGTAAGAAATTGGCTTCTCATTATTTATGAATTTATTGTCTACCTGGAGTTTACCTGGAGAGAGTTCCGGGGGTCAACGCCCCCGCGGCCCGGTCTGTGACCAGGCCTCCTTAGGTCAGTGTCCCAGGATGCGACCCACACCAGTCGACTAACACCCAGGTACCCATTTTACTGATGGGGAACATAGACAACAGGTGGAAAGAAACACGTCCAATGTTTCTACTCTAGCTGGGAATCGAACCCAGGCCCTCACCGTGTGAAGCGAGAGCGTTAACCACCAGGCCACCAGAGCTTTTTTCTGATGGAAGGTGCAGATTTATGCTAAATTTATATTGAATGGGAAAGATTGCAGGATATTTTGCACAGTATTCAGGCTACTTGTATTTAATCTTGTACTGATATATAAACAAGCTGGTGGCTAACGCTCTCCCTTCACACGGCAAGGGCCTGGGTTTGATTCCCGGCCAGAGTAGAAACATTGGGCATGTTTCTTTCCACCTGTTGTCTATGTTCCCCATCAGTAAAATGGGTACCTGGGTGATAGTCGGCTGGTGTGGGTCGCATCCTGGGACACTCACCTAATTTGCTCGACTTGCTGAGCATAACAAGGGGCTTTCTATATAGTAGTGTCATTGTTGTCAGCTAGGCCTGTATACCTTGTACATGTACACCTACCATCCGACTTACGACCTGCTTGACATACGACGACTCGACTTAAGACCGTGTTTTTTATGCCAAATTTCTGGGAAATAAACAAGTGTTTGTGTTGTACACAGTGTTTATCCTAAACCTTACAGTATAAAATACAGTACTAACAGCATAAAAAGTAAAGTAAAACATGAAATACCAAAATAAAACAATAAAATAGAGTCATTACAAAAATGTTATGTTGATATTCAGTAGTAAAGTTCGACTTACGTCCATTTCAACTTAGGTCCATTTTGACTTACGACCAGTTTTTCGGAACCGAACTCAGTCGTAAGTCGGATGGTAGGTGTACTTGCAATAAATAAATAAAGTGATCTTTCAATTGTTAGTACTCTGCAGCACATTTTAATCAATGATTGGTATCATGCAGAGTTTGAGGCACTGCGTCGGCTAGACATAAGCGATCCAGAGGCACATATCCGGCGGCACTACAAGAATGAAGATTTGACCTTTGTGGGTGATGTGTGTGTGGGGCCGAATCTCATTGACCAGATTGATGCTGCTATCGATGATGCATTGATGTCTGGGGGCTGGGTAGATATCTATGTAAGTACAGGTATATTAATTTCATATTTTCTTAATACAGTTCTATGCTTGTAGATGTGAAAATATAAGACGTTGATAAAGACAGAGACATACGTAGCAGAAGCCTTTATCAGGATAGTGTTTAGCTCTAATGAGAGCGTTTACATGAAGACTTGTTATGCTCGGTGTGACTTTGTCTCACGTCTTCCACCTGCGTGCCCTGCAACCATAAGAAGTTGATGTCTAAGTGTGAATCATTTAATACATTTTTAATCAAAAGACATTAGAAAAATATTATCCCATGTAGCAGTACCATGTACCTATTATTCTGTTATTAACTCAAATATTTTTGTGTTATTAAAATGTTTGAATATTTAACAGATTTTCAAAGAATACCAAAAGTTAACCTTAAAAATTTCTGTATGATTGCTTCTATTTCCTTGAGGTAACTGAGTGTAACTGTAAGATGAAGAATAATATATTTTTCTGTGATGAAGCTCTGCTGAAGTGCAAGGAACACAGCACATGGAAAGTTGTGGGAACTGAAACTCATTGGAGTTACTTTGGTGCTTGTTTTTTAAGGCACAATCCAGGCTTGTGTGCAAAGGAAATATGTGGACATGAAGCATAAAGCATTTTATAATTCCATGAGTCTTGCCTTGTTGCTGGCTGTTTGTTTAACAATTAAGTCATATAGGTGTTCAAAGATCAGTAAGACACAATTTCCCAGGACTCTAGCAGTGGGGAAAGCTTGAGTCAGCCAGCAGTTCAAGGTTCATCCTTTCTGTGGATGTTGAAGGGCACTGGGAATCACCATGCGCTAAAATAGGTGGAGCCTGCATCCTTTTGTCAAGTGCTGAAAATTTCCACAGTGGAAAGTCATTTTTATACATGGAATGCAACCATCATCCCAACCCCATCTTTTTTTTTACACTAGGTACTCTTAGGATTGTTCCTCCATGTGGAAAACTTCCTTGTGTTTTGTGTAACACTCATGACAGGTTATTCAGTGACTATAGAGCTGGTGAGCCAAGCAGTCTATATTGGAAATGTTTAGAAATGAGGAGAGTTGTGATAGTGTGCTTGTTGTGTTACTAAATTGGTCAACAGGTTCTGAAGTAGAAATAGGTTTTTTAAAAATGCATTTTAGATTGATAACACAAAAAACAAGATTAGTTGGAATATTGTTTTGGGACTTTTCATCAATGATTTTATTGTTTTTTTCAAAAAAGAGGCCGTATCCCCCCAAAGGGCAGGGGGGCCCAAAAGAAAATGAAAGTTTCTTTTTTTAAATTTAGTAATAGAAAAGGAAAAGGGGGTTACTAGCCCCTCTCCCGCCTTTTTAGTTGTCTCTTAAGCACGTAGGGTTTACAGAGGAAGAATTCTGTGCTCTACCCCGGGATTTCTTATTATATTTTAAATATTTTAGAACATCAGAATAAAAAAATTAAACAACAATTCATATGGTGTTTCCCTAAATATTTAAATAAGCTGTACAAATTTTATTGTCCTTTATTTTGGAAAAAATTTTTAGAAACTAATTAACAATATGCAGTCTGTCTATAAGTATATTGCTACTTCCAAACACAAAAAAAACATAATTTTAAACTTTTTATTTTTTAAACACCTTCAACATACAAATACATTACACATGAGTAGAAAGTTTTTTTTTTTTTTTAACAAGTTGGCCGTCCCCCCCGGGGCAGGGTGCCCCAAAAAGAAAGGGAACCCTCGAAAAAAAAAAATACTTTCATCATCATTAAACTTTTTCTGTCACCACCATAATCACTGTTTTTGAAAGTGCTCAGAAAACAACATTTTTGAAGTATAACGTTAAAGTACAAACTTCCCTAAAATCCCAAATTTTCCCAAAACCCCCCCTTTTTAAAAAATTGCGGCGTTGTATTTCCCCATTTCCAGGCTCAAGTCCAGCTATAAAAATAACCGGTTTCCCTGAATCCCTTACTAAATATTACCCGCTCACCTCCAACGCTCTCACCCCCAAATCCCATTGTTTCCATTAAATCCTATCTAACACGTCATGCAGCTTGCGGGAAAGTCCAAGCCCCTCGCCCACAAAACCTCCTTTACCCCCTCCCTCCAACCTTTCAAGGAGACCCCTACCTCCCTTTCCTTTCCCCCACAGATTTATTGCTCTCCTGTATTCACTTTGATCCTTCTTCTAAAGGACAACCACCTTAAAAAACCCCTCTTAGCCCTCTGACTAATACTTTTACAACCCCTCCCCTTTTTCCCTAATTTACACTCCGAATTTTTGCATATATTTACACCGCACTTTCCCCTTAGATAGTAGTGTAGTGTGGGTTGGTAGACAGCCAAGGGGAATCTACGTCCTGCAGATGACTGTGAAAAAAAAAACCGTAACTTTTTTTGATATGGTAGGATTGCGGTTTTTTTTCGTTTTTTTTAAACACGCTAAAAAAAACGGGATATCTTGACTCCTATTTAAACACTTTGGTCACCTTCACAGACACGCACATGCATTATAATATACTACATCTAGGTTTTTCTCCTTTTTTAAATAGTCTTGTTCTTTTTATTTTTTCTATTGCCCATGGGGAAGGGGGAAAAAAAATCTTTCCCCCGTAAACCTGCGGTCGTATGGGCTACAAAACCGGGGCAAGGGGCTGAAACCCCCTTCCTGTTACAATTACTAAAAAAAGAAGAAGAAAAACTTTAAAAAAAGGGGTTGTTTAAAATGTGCGTGGATGTATGCGGTGACAAAAAACAATGATTGCTGATGTTATGAATGAAAAGAAGTTGGATGTCCGGCCCAAAGCGAAAAAAAGTAAAGGGGGGGTAGGAGATTTCAGGGGGGGGAAAAAAAGGGATTAAATTGGAGTATTAAAGGGAGTTAGGCAAGGAAAGGGGGTAGCAGTAAGTTAAATGAAGTTAGGAAGGAGAAAAGAGAATATGATGTGTAAATTCAAGAATTATGTGGATTTTAAATAAAGGTTGGATGCAGAAGGGGGGCTAAAAAGGTGATGCACCGGGAGAAGAGAGGAATGCAGAGGAGAGGGGGAAGATTTTGGGAGATTTTTAATGAATTATAGGAGCCTTTGACCAAGTGAGAGGTAATTGGGGTGGGGACTTAAATGCTAAAGTAGGAGAAACTTTTAGAGGGGTGTGGTAGGTAAGTTTGGGGTGCCAGGTGTAAATAAAAGGGAGCCCTTTGATTAATTTTTGTATAGAAAGGGGTTTAGTTATAGTAATAAAATTTTTTAAAGAAAAGGGATAAATAAGTATACACGATAGTTTAGGCGAAATGACAGTAGTTTTTGGTTATGTATTGGTAGATAAAAGACTGTTAGTGATTTCAGGATGACATGTTTATAGAGGGGCCAAGTATTCAATCATTTTTCTAGTTGTAGCTACACGAGAGAAAAGGTAGAGGGGAAAAAAGGGAAAGAGCTCAGGGAAAAGAGAGGTAAAGGGTTTATAAACTAAAAGGGGGAGGCAGTTAGGGAAAGTAAAAACAGTATTGGGGATAGATGGGCTAATGAGAGCATAGGCAGGGGTGAAGAGGTAGGGGTAGGTTTAAAAATGTGTGTTAGAGTGTTCAGCAGAAGTTTTTGGGGTTACAGGAAAGTGGTGCAGGGGGGAAAGGGGGATTGGGGGAATGTGAGTAAAGAGAGAGAAAGGAGAAAAATTAGCATATGAGAAGTTTTTACAAAGTAAAGTGATGAAAGGAGGGGAAGTATATGGAAAAAAAGAGAGAATTTAAAAAGGGTGGTGAAGAAATGTAAAAAGAGGCAAAGGGGAAGAGTGGGTAGATGTTATCAACAAATTTTGTTGAAAATAAAAAAAAAGTTTTGGGTAGATTAAAATTTAAAAAAGCCTGAGAAAAAAAGGGATTTGTCATTAAAAATAGGAAAGAGTTTTAAATGGAGGGGTAGGGGTTTGGGGAAGAGGGAAAGGATTTTTGAGGAAATTGTTAAATTTGATGAAGTAGGGAAGTTTGGATTTCGTGTATAGGGCAAGGAGGAATAACATCTGTAGAGTGAGGAAGAGCCCAGTTGTGAGTGTGGGAAAGTTCGTGAGGCAGTAGGTAAATGAAGGGGTAAGGCAGCCTGGGATTGATGGAAAACGATAGAATGTAAAAGATGTGGGGATAAGTTTGAGTGAGTTGTGCAATTATTTAATGAAATGTAGGAAGAGGGTTTAAGGTCCCTAGGATTGCGTAACATTGCTGAAGTAGAAATGTATAACTGCAAAGGTGCATTTAAGATTGATAACACAAAAGGAACGACGTTAGTTGGAAATTGTTATTGGGACTTAATTCACAACTGATAACGATTATTGTATTCAATTCAACAAAGAGGCCGTATCCCACCAAGTAGAGGGTGGTCCATAAAACAAAATGAAAGTTTCTCTGTTAAAATTTTTAGTAATAGAAAACGAGAAGGGGTACTAGCCCCCTGCTGCCCGCCGTTTGTAAGTTGTCTTTAAGACACGTTTGGGTGTTACGAAGAGTGAAGAATTCTTTGCTACATTATCCATGGAGTATTTGATTAATTTTATTCTTAAATAGTTTAGAAAGCATCTGATTACCATAATTAAACAACATATTACTATGGTGTTTAAGATAAATATTTACAATACAGGCTGTAAAAAATTTTAGTGATCCAGTAGTTTGCAAAATTTTAGGTACAGACTAGAATCTAACAGATTGCAGTAATGTCATATAAGTAATATTGCTACTGTTCAAATAAGACAAACAATAATAATTTAAAGCTGTGTTATGTTTAAACAAAATTTCAACATACAAATACATTACACATGAGTAGGAATGAATTTATTATTTTACAAGTGGCGTCTCCCACCGAGGGCAGGGTGACCAAAAAGAAAGGTGAATCTCGAAAAGAAAAATACTTTGCATCATCTTCAAACATTCTTCATGTCACTCACACATAATCACTGTTTTTTTGCAGAAGTTGCTCAGAAAGGAGCAACAGTTTAGAAGTATATACGTGATAAGATCACAACATATCCCTTCCAAACTGCAATATCACCAAACCCCTCTTTCAAGAGGCTGAGGGGTTGAGGTCTTCCATTTCCAGGACTCAAGTCCAGCTATATAAAATAACCGTTCCCTGAATCACTTCACTAAATATTACCCTGCTCAGCACCCAACAGGCTTCGTCAGGGTCCAAACATTTGTTTCATGGCTCCTATCTTAACACGCTCTGCAGCTGTGATGGAAGTCAAGCCTCGCCCGACAAACCTGCCTTTTTAAACCCTCCTGCCAAACTTTTGAAGGACAGGAAACCCTACGCCTGCCTTCCTTCCCTACAGATTTATATGCTCTCCATGATCATTTAGCGTTTGATTCCAATTCTCTAAGGACCAAACCGTACCTTAACAACCCCTCTTGCAGACTCTGACTAATACTTTTATAAATCCTCACCTTTTCCTTATTTCCACACTGCCTGGTGAATGTTTTAATAATAAAAATTAACCGCACATTGCCCTTAGACAGGACATCACTGCCTCCAACCGCCTCCTCGCTGCAACATTTACAACCCAAGCTTCACACCCATATAAGAGTGTTGGTACTACTATACTTTCATACATTCCCTTCTTTGCCTCCATGGATAACATTTTTTTGTCTCCACATATACCTCAATGCACCACTCACCTTTTTTCCTTCATCAGTTCTATGATTAACCTCATCCTTCATAAATCCATCCGCTGACACGTCAACTCCCAAATATCTGAAAACATTCACTTCACACTACACTTACATGTACACATTTATTTATATACACTCATCTGAGTTTTCTTTGATTTTATCTTAATAGTTCTTGGTCTTATTACTTTTCCTTTTATATCCATGGGGAAATGGAATAAGAATCTTTCCTCCGTAAGCCATGCGTATTGTAAAAGTCAACTAAAATGCCGGGAACAATGGGCTAGTAACCCCTTTTCCTGTAAAGATTACTAAAAAGAATAAGAAGAAAATTGTCAAAGTGGGAAGTCTGAATGTTCGTGGATGTTGTGCAGATGATAAGAAAGAGATGATTGTGGATGTTATGAATGAGAAGAAGCTGGATGTCCTGGCTTTAAGTGAAACAAAGCTGAAGGGGGTGGGAGAGTTTCAATGGAGAGGAATAAATGGGATTAGGTCAGGGGTTTCAAGCTGAAGGGGATGGGACAGTTTCAATGGAGAGGAATAAATGGGATTAGGTCAGGGGTTTCAAAAAAGTTAGAGCTAAAGAAGGAGTAGCAATAATGTTGAAGGATAAGCTATGGCAGGAAAAGAGGGACTATAAATGTATTAATTCAAGGATTATGTGGAGTAAAATAAAGATTGGATGTGAAAAGTGGGTTATAATAAGCATGTATGCACCTGGAGAATAGAGAAGTGTAGAGGAGAGAGAGAGATTTTGGGAAATGTTGAGTGAATGCGTGGGGAGTTTTGAGTCAAGTGTGAGAGTAATGGTGGTTGGGAATTTCAATACTAAAGTGGGTAAAAATGTTATGGAGGGAGTAGTAGGTAAATTTGGGGTGCCAGGGGTAAATGTAAATGGGGAGCCTTTAATTGAGCTATGTGTAGAAAGAGATTTGGTAATAAGTAATACATATTTTATGTCAAAGAGGATAAATAAATATACAAGGTATGATGTAGCACGTAATGAAAGTAGTTTGTTAGATTATGTATTGGTGGATAAAAGGTTGATGGGTAGGCTCCAGGATGTACATGTTTATAGAGGGGCAACTGATATATCGGATCATTATTTAGTTGTAGCTACAGTTAGAGTAAGAGGTAGACTGGAAAAGAGGAAGGTGGCAACAACAAGTATGAGGGAGGTGAAAGTGTATAAACTAAGGGAGGAGGAAGTTCGGATGAGATATAAGCGACTATTGGCAGAAAGGTGGGCTAGTGCAAAGATGAGTAGTGGAGGGGTTGAAGAGGGTTGGAATAGTTTTAAAAATGCAGTATTAGAATGTGGGGCAGAAGTTTGTGGTTATAGGAGGGTGGGTGCAGGAGGAAAGAGGAGTGATTGGTGGAATGATGAAGTAAAGGGTGTGATAAAAGAGAAAAAGGTAGCTTATTAGAGGTTTTTAAAAAGCAGAAGTGTTATAAGAAGAGCAGAGTATATGGAGAGTAAAAGAAAGGTAAAGAGAGTGGTGAGAGAGTGCAAAAGGAGAGCAGATGATAGAGTGGGAGAGGCACTGTCAAGAAATTTTAATGAAAATAAAAAAAATTTTGGAGTGAGTTAAACAAGTTAAGAAAGCCTAGTGAAAGTATGGATTTGTCAGTTAAAAACAGAGTAGGGGAGTTAGTAGATGGGGAGATGGAGGTATTAGGTAGATGGCGAGAATATTTTGAGGAACTTTTAAATGTTGAGGAAGAAAGGGAGGCGGTAATTTCATGCACTGGTCATGGAGGTATAGCATCTTTTAGGAGTGAAGAAGAGCAGAATGTAAGTGTGGGGGAGGTACGTGAGGCATTACATAGAATGAAAGGGGGTAAAGCAGCTGGAACTGATGGGATCATGACAGAAATGTTAAAAGCAGGGGGGGATATAGTGTTGGAGTGGTTGGTACTTTTGTTTAATAAATGCATGAAAGAGGGGAAGGTACCTAGGGATTGGCAGAGAGCATGTATAGTCCCTTTATTTAAAGGGAAAGGGGATAGAAGAGATTGTAAAAATTATAGAGGAATAAGTTTACTGAGTATACCAGGAAAAGTGTACGGTAGGGCTATAATTGAAAGAATTATAGGTAAGACAGAATGTAGGATTGCGGATGAGCAAGGAGGTTTCAGAGTGGGTAGGGGATGTGTAGATCAAGTGTTTACATTGAAGCATATATGTGAACAGTATTTAGATAAAGGTAGGGAAGTTTTTATTGCATTTGTGGATTTAGAAAAGGCATATGATAGAATGGATAGGGGAACAATGTGGCAGATGTTGCAAGTATTTGGAATAGGTGGTAAGTTATTAAATGCTGTAATGAGTTTTTATGAGGATAGTGAGGCTCAGGTTAGGGTGTGTAGAAGAGAGGGAGACTACTTCCCGGTAAAAGTAGATCTTGGACAGGGATGTGTAATGTCACCATGGTTGTTTAATATATTTATAGATGGGGTTGTAAAGGAAGTAAATGCTAGGGTGTTCAGGAGAGGGGTGGGATTAAATTATGGGGAATCAAATTCAAAATGGGAATTGACACAGTTACTTTTTGCTGATGATTCTGTGCTTATGGGAGATTCTAAAGAAAAATTGCAAAGGTTAGTGGATGAGTTTGGGAATGTGTGTAAAGGTAGAAAGTTGAAAGTGAACATAGAAAAGAGGAAGGTGATGAGGGTATCAGATGATTTAGATAAAGAAAAATTGGATATCAAATTGGGGAGGAGTATGGAAGAAGTGAATGTTTTCAGATACTTGGGAGTTGACGTGTCGGCGGATGGATTTATGAAGGATGAGGTTAATCATAGAATTTATGAGGGAAAAAAGGTGAGTGGTGCGTTGAGGTATATGTGGGGTCAAAAAACGTTGTCTATGGAGGCAATGAAGGGAATGTATGAAAGTATAGTGGTACCAACACTCTTATATGGGTGTGAAGCTTGGTGGTAAATGCAGCAGCGAGGAGACGGTTGGAGGCAGTGGAGATGTCCTGTCTAAGGGCAATGTGTTGTGTAAATATTATGCAGAAAATTCGGAGTGTGGAAATTAGGAAAAGGTGTGGAGTTAATAAAAGTAATAGTCAGAGAGCAGAAGAGGGGTTGTTGAGGTGGTTTGGTCATTTAGAGAGAATGGATCAAAGTAGAATGACATGGAAAGCATATACATGTAAATCTATAGGGGAAGGAAGGTGGGGTAGGGGTCGTCCTCGAAAGGGTTGGAGAGAGGGGGTAAAGGAGGTTTTGTGGGCGAGGGGCTTGGACTTCCAGCAAGTGTGCATGAGCGTGTTAGACAGGAGTGAATGGAGACGAATGGTACTTGGGACCTGATGATCTGTTGGAGTGTGAGCAGGGTAATATTTAGTGAAGGGATTCAGGGAAACCGGTTATTTTCATATAGTCGGACTTGAGTCCTGGAAATGGGAAGTACAATGCCTGCACTTTAAAGGAGGGGGTTTGGGATATTGGCAGTTTGGAGGGATATGTTGTGTATCTTTATATGTATATGCTTCTAAACTGTTGTATTCTGAGCACCTCTGCAAAAACAGTGATAATGTGTGAGTGTGGTGAAAGTGTTGAATGATGATGAAAGTATTTTCTTGTTGGGGATTTTCTTTCTTTTTTGGGTCACCCTGCCTCGGTGGGAGACGGCCGACATGTTGAAAAAAAAAAAAAAAAAATTCACTTCTACCTTACTCCTCCGCAATTTGATATCCAATTTTTCTTTATCTAAATAATTTGATACCCTCATCATCTTACTCTTTTCTATGTTCACTTTCAACTTTCTACCTTTACACATGCTCCCAAATTAGTCTAACCTTTGCAATTTTTCTTTAGAATCTCCTATAAGCACAGTATCATCAGCAAAACGTAACTGTGTCACTTCCCATTTTGTATTTGATTTCCCATAATTTAATCCCACCCCTCTCCCGAACACCCTAGCATTTACTTCTCTTACAACCCCATCTATAAATATATTAAACAACCATGGTGACATTACACATCCCTGTCTAAGACCTACTTTTACCGGGAAGTAGTCTCCCTCTCTTCTACTCACCCTAACCTGAGCCTCACTATCCTCATAAAAACTCTTTACAGCATTTAGTAACTTACCACCTATTCCATATACTTGCAACATCTGCCACATTGCTCCTCTATCCATTCTATCATATGCCTTTTCTAAATCCATAAATGCAATAAAAACTTCCCTACCTTTATCTAAATACTGTTCATATATATGCTTCAATGTAAACACTTGATCTACACATCCCTACTTGAGCATACATTGATTGTTTATTTGACAGCCATTGTTGCCTACGGTATTCAGCCCAGAGGAGGGGAATCAACTGGTGGATGTTGCCCTAAAACGCCGCCAGGATAAGAAATCCACAGCAACTGCGAGAGTCTTCTGTGACACAGTTGTTATAAGTGACCAGCTCCTGATGAAACTGTCTAACCACCTACAAGAGTTCATGCCAAAGAAAGCCAAAGAAGCCGTTGAGAAGGGCGCCTTCAAACAGCAGGTGGGGAAAGAAAGTTTATGAGAGTGTTACTGGTTAGTTCTCGTCATAGATCTCGACAGATCCTGTGAGGCTACACCATCTAATATGGTAATGAAAATGGCATTTTGGACAATACAGCCTCTCCTGACTGAACGATGGGGTTCTGTTCCTAAGAGTAGGTCGGTAAGTGAGTTAGTCGTTAAGTGAGGAGCATACTATACTGGTAGTGAATTTGTGTCAGCCATCTTTAGATATTTTTTTAATGTCACCTTTGCACCATTTATAACATTTCTGGTATATTTTTAAATGTTTATACAGTAGTTTACTGTATACTGTAATAAACAGAATAGAGGAAATCAGCTCTTATATACATTATTTAGGTTTGCATACTGGTCGTAAGTCCTAGTGGTCGGTAAACAAGTACGTCGCTATGTGAGGAGAGGCTGTATTTGAAATATTGTGCTCCAGAGTTCAAGTAAAAATGACTTTGTTTACCGGATGATTGTAGATGTAGAGGCATGAAGATGGCAATTATGGATGTAATGACACAATATGCAGAGTTATACAGGGAATATTTTTTATACATGTTTTATAATTGTGAAGAGTGAGGTAAGACCAATAAAGAATGGCACATCAGGCTCTGTCATGACATTGCAGAGCACTGTGGTCTGCCTAATACTCCATTACTTAGGTTTGTAATGTTATTGAATTATGGGCTAGGTGTTCTCCATGTAAGATTACGTGTAAGATGGGCTTGTCAAGGCAGAAGGGACACTATTTGGAGAACTGGTTAGGTAAGTACACTTTCCTACATGAAACAAACATAAGACAAGTGTTACTTATCTTTTAACAGCATGATTTTCAGTAGCCTTTCCCTGGAAATCCCTTCAGGGTGCTGTCTGTGTCCACAGTGGCTGTTGATTAACAGGTGAGTTAGAAAAACAATTTGCCCCAATGGAGCGTATATCTCAGCATTTCACTATCATCTGAAATGCATAGTGATACTCACTTGGTTTTGGGTGAATCACCCACGCATCACGGGATCTATTGGTAACTCCAGTCAGTCTCGCCTCTACCTATTAGCTGCAGCTAATGTAATTAGATGTGGGTATGGCTGGACTTACCTGGGTATTGTAACTGACCTAATTTCCCCAAGTTTGTTGTTGGGGAAATGTGACCCCAGTATTGTTGTCTTGAGTAGGCTGCTACAGATGCATAGTTATATTGTCCTCACTCGTTGATTGGGAGTCACGTTGGTCCTACTTTAAGCGATAGGGTAATATCTTGTCCCTTTGTTCATAACACCTGAATACATACTGTGACACGAACTTTTACACTTTATCAGGATTATTCCGCAATAATACACTCATGTTTCCTTTTGACACTAGTTTACCTAGTGGAAATTGACAGTATTTCTGAGTTTACTGCACAGAGTCATTATTTTCTTTGTTTTCAGCAGGAGATTTGTGATGTGGTCACTCTCTGATATCTGAATTCAACCTAGCTTGTCGCCTTGCCCAACGCCCACCAGTCACGTCCGCACAAAGAACTGCTGAGTTTAGCTTTATATCTCTTCCTTACTACACATTGCAACAAGGAATAACACAAGAAGATTGTTTCCTTGTTGTTTATCTGCGAACTAGAAGTCGTAATGTCCCCGACTTTAAGAAAAGTGGAGCGCAGGTTTTCTCTTAATTTTCCTGCTATGGAGAAAAGAGTAATTACTCTTTGTTTAACCGTGTTGTGTAGTTGATCAGGAACTCTAGCAAGGAGAGAGCCGTGCATGGAGATGCCTGGTACACATGTGGTTTTAATGAAGTTGTGTGTGAGGAAGGAAGAGTCCACTAGCCCCTTCCGGGAGGGCTAAGATCCTCAGAGGGCTGAGAGGGCTGAGAGATACCCCCTTTACTGGAGAATTTTTTGCACATGTGGGGGGAGGGCAAAAGTTCACTGGAGTTTACCTGGAGAGAGTTCCGGAGGTCAACGCCCCCGTGGCCCGGTCTGTGACCAGGCCTCATGGTGGATCAGAGCCTGATCAACCAGGCTGTTACTGCTGGCTGCATGCAGTCCAACGTACAAGCCACAGCCCGGCTGGTCAGGTACCGACTTTAGGTGCTTGTCCAGTGCCTGCTTGAAGACTGCCAGGGGTCTATTGGTAATTCCTCTTATGTATGCTGGGAGGCAGTTGAACAGTCTCGGGCTCCTGACACTTATTGTATCGTCTCTTAACGTGCTAGTGACACCCCTGCTTTTCATTGGGGGGATGTTGCATCGTCTGCCGAGTCTTTTGCTTTCGTTGTGAGTGATTTTCGTGTGCAAGTTCGGTACTAGTCCCTCTAGGATTTTCCAAGTGTATATAATCATGTCTCTCCCGCCTGCGTTCCAGGGAATACAGGATCAGAAACTTCAAGGACTCCCAGTAATTGAGGTGTTTTATCTCCGTTATGCACACTGTGAAGGTTCTCTGTGCATTTTTTAGGTCAGCAATTTCACCTGCCTTGAAAGGTGCTGTTAGTGTGCAGCAATATTCTAGCCTAGATAGAACAAGCGACCTGAAGAGTGTCATCATGGGCTTGGCATCCCTAGTTTTGAAGGTTCTCATTATCCATCTTGTCATTTTTCTAGCAGATGCGATTGATACAATTTTATGGTCCTTGAAGGTGAGATCCTCTGACATGATCACTCCCAGGTCTTTGACGTTGGTTTTTCGCTCTGTTTTGTGGAAGGAATTTGTTTTGTACTCTGATGATGTTTTAATTTCCTCATGTTTACCATATCGGAGTAATTGAAATTTCTCATCATTGAACTTCATATTGTTTTCTGCAGCCCACTGAAAGATTTGGTTGATGTCCGCCTGGAGCCGTGCAGTGTCTGCCGTGCAGTCACTGTCATGCAGATTCGGGTGTCATCTGCAAAGGAAGACACGGTGCTGTGGCTGACATCCTTGTCTATATCAGATATGAGGATGAGAAATAAGATGGGAGCGAGTACTGTGCCTTGTGGAACAGAGCTTTTCACCATAGCCGCCTCAGACTTTACTCTGTTGACTACTACTCTCTGTGTTCTGTTTGTGAGGAAATTATAGATCCATCTACCAACTTTAGTAGGTTGGTAAACAGCAACCACCCAGGGAGGTACTACCGTCCTGCCAAGTGAGTGTACAACGAAAGCCTGTAATTGTTTTACATGATGGTAGGATTGCTGGTGTCTTTTGTGTCTCATAAACATGCAAGATTTCAGGTATGTCTTGCTACTTCTACTTGCATTTAGGTCACACTACACATACATGTACAAGCATATATATACACACACACACCCCTCTGGGTTTTCTTCTATTTTCTTTCTAGTTCTTGTTCTTGTTTATTTCCTCTTACCTCCATGGGGCAGTGGAACAGAATTCTTCCTCCGTAAGCCATGCGTGTTGTAAGAGGCGACTAAAATGCCGGGAGCAAGGGGCTAGTAACCCCTTCTCCTGTATATATTACTAAATTTAAAAAGAGAAACTTTAGTTTTTTCTTTTGGGCCACCCCGCCTCGGTGGGATACGGCTGGTATGTTGAAAGAAAGATCTACCAACTTTTCCTGTTATTCCTTTAGCACGCATTTTGTGCGCTATTACGCCATGGTCACACTTGTCGAAGGCTTTTGCAATGTCTGTATGTATTACATCTGCATTCTTTTTGTGTTCTAGTGCATCTAGGACCTTGTCGTAGTGATCCAGTAGCTGAGACAGACAGGAGCGACCTGCTCTAAACCCATGTTGCCCTGGGTTGTTATTGATGGGTATCTAGATGGGTGGCGATCTTGCTTCTTAGGACCCTTTCAAAGATTTTTATGATATGGGATGTTAGTGCTATCAGTCTGTAGTTCTTTGCTATTGCTTTACTTCCTCCTTTGTGGAGTGGGGCTATGTCTGTTGTTTTTAGTAACTGTGGGACGACCCCTGTGTCCATGCTCCCTCTCCATAGTATGGTAAAAGCTCGTGATAGGCGCTTCTTGCAGTTCTTGATGAACACGGAGTTCCATGAGTCTGGCCCTGGGGCAGAGTGCATGGGCATGTCATTTATCGCCTGTTCGAAGTCATTTGATGTCAGGATAATATCAGATAGGCTTGTGTTAACCAAATTCTGTGGCTCTCTCATAAAAAATTCATTTTGATCTTCGATTCTTAGTCTGGTTAGTGGCTTGCTAAAAACCGAGTCATATTGGGACTTGAGTAGCTCACTCATTTCCTTGCTGTCATCTGTGTAGGACCCATCTTGTTTAAGTAGGAGCCCAATATTGGATGTTGTTCTCAACTTTGATTTGGCATAAGAAAAGAAATACTTTAAGTTTCTCTCGATTTCATTTATGACTTTTAGTTCTTCCCGCAATTCCTGACTCCTATAAGATTCCTTTAGCTTAAGTTCGATGTTTGCTATTTCTCTGACCAGTGACTCTCTACTCATTTCAGATATATTGGCCTCTTTTAGCCGCTCTGTTATTCTTTTCCGTCGCCTGTAAAGGGAGCGCCTGTCTCTTTCTATTTTACGCCTACTCCTTTTTCTTAAAGGAATAAGCCTTGAGCATACATCGAGTGCCACCGAGTTAATCTGTCCTAGGCATAAGTTGGGGTCTGTGTTGCTTAGTCTATCTTCCCAGCTTATATCATTTAGGACTTGATTTACTTGGTCCCACTTCGTTCTTGTTATTGAAGTTGAATTTGGTAAAGGCTCCCTCGTGACTAATCTCATTTTGTCGGTCTGGGGCTCCACGCATACATGTCTGAACCTCAATTATGTTGTGATCTGAGTATATTGTTTTTGATATGGTGACATTTCGTATCAGATCATCATTGTTAGTGAAGATGAGGTCTAGTGTATTCTCCTGTCTAGTAGGCTCTATTATTTGCTGGTTTAAGTTGAATTTTGTGCAGAGATTCAAAAGCCTGTGTGTGTGTGAGGTCTCGTCAGAGCTGCCTCCTGGTGTTATCACTGCAACATATATTCATCTTTTAGCATCATTTTGAGTTTCTCACTGGCC